GCGTCCGGCACGATCTACGTATATAATGATAGTTTAGGTGCACAAAGATAATTTTTGATTGGTTAGAAACCTTTCAGAAGTAAGCTTGTCAATGACCTGTGATGGTCTTGTAAGCCAGCTGCTTTGGAAAAGTCTGTTTTGGCTTCTTATGCCATTTATATGCGTCTTTTTTCCAAGCACTAAGGATAAGCTAGACTGGATGCCGACCTCTGGAAACCGACCTAGCATGCGGTCTTCCAGACCCCAGATGGACCACAGACTGGCCTCAGGAGACCAGATCGGATATTTTGGATCCGTTAACCTCCATAGTATCGACAAAGTGTAGTTCTGTGACTAACTTATTCGTGACCAAAGGTATGGAGGTCAACTTTCTCACAATTAACGCAGGTCGAAATAGCACTCCATCTCGTCCAACGTTTTTCTGTATCATACCTTTCGTAAACCATGCCTTCAGGATATCTCACAACGAAGTTTCCATACATCATCCTGCCAAGAGCATGCAGCTGTCGCTTGTGGATCATTTGAAGCACAGCATTCTTAATTTTAGCCAGGTGCGCTGCTCCGACGCATCCAAGACAAGGTCACGCAGCACGCGATGTATTCGTCGATGTTCGCGTCCTCTGAATCTGGTTCACGTTATTGCTCTCGTTAATACCGATCTCTGATGGCTGCCTGTTTCAGGCCTTCGCAGGCCAGGCGAGTGTCCCACCCACAAATTCTCATTTTCTCCCACGAAAATCCAGTGCTGCACCGACTGCGACTGCAACCTCGGCCATCACAACGGCACCTGGAGGTGTTGTCCGAGTTACCTGGGCAACACCTGCCTGCCGCCGTGCAGCCCCGTCTGCCCGTGGTTCAGCGTGTGCGCGCTCATGACTCAGGCCAAACCGTGGAAGTCCTACTGCATCTTTGTTGGCCCCGGGAGACGCTAGCTGCCTGATCGGACGACAGCCGGATGCAACGATGACTAGAAGCGACCGCATTGGACCGGCTGCACGGCAAATGGCCAAAGACCGTCGCTTTGGTGGATCATTGTGTTATCGTGGCACGGTGTTCACAGCTGGGAGCTTCATCTATGTGTATTAACCGTGACTGGTACTCTCTAGTGTCATTCATCGCTCTTAAGGCCAGCTGCAATTCTAACCGTAAGGTTTCGCCATGTCGCGGTGTCCTTTTGTGTGTACCTGTCTTTGCTGCTATGCCTGTGTAATCGATGAGTTCCTGGCAATGGGAAATATACCACCTAAGGGTGACAACAGACTGCAGAAACGCACGCACGACGCTTGCGTGCGCGCATGCACGCTCGCCCGCACGCACACATACACGCGCAACGCACGCTCGCACGCAGACAATTGTTAGGAACACAATAATGCAATGATTATTCAGCAGACGCGTGACTTGCGTTCTTCCATATCGCGTTTGCAGCTACCATCATTGCACGACATCCATCGACATAATCCGAAAAGACGAGTTGATATAACCTGTAATGGGACTATATGTATTATCAGCTTGCAAGGCGTTTCAACGCTAGCAACGGCTGCACCGTCAGGCAGAAACACACACACAAACACACACACACACACACACACACACACACACACACACACACACACACACACACACACACACACACACACACACACACACACACACACACACACACACACACACACACACACACACACACACACACACACACACACACACACACACACACACACACACACACACACACACACACACACACACACACACACACACACACACACACACACGTAAAGCATACGCCATGGTTGTTTAACACACGCACACGGCACAAACGAACTGAGGATACCACACAAGCACAGGCGTTGGCACACGACCCACTCAGGTGTATTTCAATCATCAGGTGTATTTCATTTTATCACACTATATAATGTACATGATAATGCCACGTTATTTAGTGCCGGGCGTTTCTTAAAAATATGTACGGACTCCAAGATTCTCAAGTCAAGCGAGGAATCTGTTCTACCCAAGATGCAAAAATTGGAAGCTACAGCTGGAGTATCACGCGTAAATAAATGTTCTCGTTTGGTGAGGTGTTAGGTTTTGCAATAAATGTTCCCGTTCGGATAGATTTGCCGTAATGTTGCTGAGTGCAGCTGCGCAAGTTCCGGAGTGCAGGATGCTATGTGGGATACCCCGCACGAAGCACAGCTTAACTCGTATACTACAGTCGATTGGTAGTATTTGAAGAGCAAACTTCTAAGAGGGAATTCACCAAAATAGTCAGAGGACCTACAAATGAGCAAACAGTAATTTACAGGGAGCAGTTTCCTGTTGAGCGTCACCCATTTATTTATTTTCAGGTTCCTCGATTCTAGGCGTTTTTCCTCTTCCCGGCGCTTCGATGTTGCGAAGGTCAAGACATATTTTGTTCTTCCGTACTTTGGCTCATATTCCGAAAGCCTCAAACGTGAGCTCATGAGCCTCTTATAGAAATTCTATGAGGTGATATATACTAAGGTTATCCTGATCAAGTCTGTTTAAGAAGGCTACTTCTTCAAACATAAGGATAGTGTATCTAAATGCTGCCAACTGACTGCTGAATAGCGGTTTTGTTGTGCCTCATGCGAGGCTTCCTGTACAGCATCCCACACTCTGGAACTTGCACAGCCACTCTCAGCAAAATTTAGGTAGATCTATCCGGATGAGAACATTTCTTGCAAAACCTGACCGCTCTCCCCTATGAGAACCTTCATTTACATATGACGCCCCAGTTCCGACGTCAAATTTTAGTATGCCGGACAGGAAATTTTCTTCGCGTGATTTGACAATCTTAGAGCCTTAATGCATTTTTGATAAATGTCCAGCGCCAAAATAACATGACCTCATCGCATTCATCAAAAATTATGATAAACTGAAATGCATCTGTATAATTAAGTGATGTGTCGTGCATCCATGCATGTGCTCGTGTGATATTTTCATGTTTTCTTGTGTTAAACCATCATGGTCTGCATTATACGTGTGTGTTTTTCGCCTGACGATGAAGCCGTTGTTTGCTGTGAAACGCGACGCGAGCTCACATGAGATGCATTAGTCAACCCGCGCAGGGCTGGGAGTTTAAGACATCGCGCTGGGCCCGGAGGAAGTTGACTTCACCCTGAGATCTCAAACTTCCAGACGTCGTATGAAAAGATACTGTCTCGAAGGCCTCGTCAGGTCGTGAAGAATACATACCACATTTGTACCTTAGGGTAGATGTAATGTCACCAGAGCTCACGAAAGTTAAAAACTGCCGTTCCGATAGATGCCCTTAGAGTCATGTTAGCATGTCAAGACGAGTGTTGAAGACACGTAAATAACCATTGAAACCGTGGAAAGTTAATTTCAGCCATTTCTGTTCCCCCTCATGGGTCAGGTCAGATCAAGTCACCGCTCAAAATTGGTCTTCCAGTAGCCTACAAGTAAGATGCTTTTTCACGAGGCGCTCCTGGCCAAGTTTATTTTATCAGGTGCAGCTGTGGAGCAAAAGCATTCCAGACACAAAAGTGCCATATTAGGTTCACCTTAAGGTCATCTGGGTTCAGCTTAGTTCAGATTCATAACTATCCAACCGAATAAAAGATTAAAGTACTAACCGGGTCTATGTGACCAGTACAATGTTTTTTCTGTGATCAGAAATAGTGTATTGCACATCTACATGTACTCAACATCGCATAGCTGTTATCTTCAGTGTACATAGTTTCTTCGATGCTTTGCAAGGTATTTGTAGCAGGCGGAGAACAGGTACGTTGGTACCTGAAATTATGCGTCATCGGCTTCACAAGCGCGATAAGGAGGCGGTTGCACGTATTGAACTCGTTCATTTAGTCTCTCTGCCACTGGAAAGAGAAGTCATTGACCTGGGACGACCTCATATTACCTTGCATGTCTTTTCGTGACCTATTGTGGCCTCATCTTGCATAAGAATGACATGACATGTTTTCAGTTCAATATTCGAATTCTGCGTCCTAAATCACCAAATAAAACGGCCCATTCTGTGCACAGCATGTATTTTGCAGAGGGTACCCATGCAGGTAGGTCACGATCTGTGCCAAGGTCATGTGCTCTGCGGGCATATGTTGGTGTGCGCGCATGTTATTACTTTTCCCTCATATACAAACACCAAAAATGCATGCAAATTTGCATTAGTTACCAAAACTAGCATAATTGACCCGACTTCAGGTCACTGATCTCATCCTTTTCCGAAAAATCCGAACTTTACTTTGAACAAACTTTAGAAGCTCTCATGTGCCACACGAAGTACAATTTTAAGCAATGGTCAACGGCCCACAAAAAGGTTGTGAATGGTCATAGTTTTTTTTAGAGGTTGACCTGCTTTACCTGACTTAAGCCACTCGTCGTGATAGAGAAAAGTTTCAAATTTACATTAAGAATGTCAAATTAATGGATGAGCAGATACTAAAGATGTTGTGCTGCCGCAGGCGTTCGTATTTGACGCGTGCTCTAGGAACCGTAGTGGGAATCAACCTCCCCCCACCGGCCGCTGGTTTATCAGCATGTGCTGATATGAGTTACGACATCGCATATATATATATATATATATATATATATATATATATATATATATATAAATGCGCACACATATCTTTATATGCAGTTAAAATCACCTATGTCTGTAGTTGGGGACTACATATTGGACCATTCAGGTCATTTGAATAGCCTCCGTAGGTGACCTTTTGCATGAGTCAGAAAAGCGGCGCTCTTCCCTCATGGCTGACATGACCATCTCGCTGTGACGAATATCGATTGGTCGAGCGACATTTGAACCAGTTGGCGGAATGTCGGCCGCCAATCAACGATCGCTTCCTTTTTGACATCATCCTGACCTTTAGCGAACCGCTTCCCTTCTCTGTAATAACATCGACACCCTTTCACCCTGACTCACCTTTCACTCCCTCCTCCAAAAAGGAACGTCGCATTTGATCTGCGTCGTAGATCCAGCCGACATTCTTGCGGTCTGTCTGCATAGGTAGACAGTATAAAACAGGGTCAGCACAGCAAAGGGCCATAACAGTCGACATGAAGTCCATCGTTGTGCTTCTGGGAGTAGTGGTCATCAGCCTTGCCGTATCCGCCCAACCTTGTAAGTCTGGATTAAATTTGCACTCAATGTTGTTTATCATTGCAATTCCGGTTTCTTGTTTATATGGAAATGCTTCCCTTTGAAACAACAGGGTACATTGGGAAGCACTATCCTGCTACGTGATGTGAATTAACATTTCAGCTTTACATCGCTATATTTTTATGTTCAATCCACATAGTTTCCCAGTAATGTTAGCTACCTTGTTTAATATAAAAACATGCGTGAAGAAAATGATGCAAGTAATCATACCACCGAGAAAACGAACAATATTTTGGGCCAATCGGTGGATATGGAAAGCAAATGATGATTTCTCCCATCACATGTGGTCGTCTTATCAAAACAAAACAAACATGTTTTCACACCCTTCATGCCCCGTAGTAATCCTAAATACTTACTTTTTAACTCCAACCGGGTTAAGGATGCCAATTGTAAGAAAAATATTTTGCCGTGCGCTCTCAGCTAGGATGTCGTTTTTTAAGGCGTGCATAGGATCTTTAGGCAAAATGACAGTTAAGTCCTGCCTATCAGCAACAAACGGTATTTTGGGCTGGACCTGATCGTAGAATCCATGCGAAAATATTACTTTTGACAGATCAATGCCCAGGTCAGAGCCAATCAATGTTCAGAATGTGTGGTAGCGTTTTTTTTTAATGTTTTGTCGGCTCTTGGTTTGTTGCGCTTAGTCTGTGCTGCAAAGTTGAGGGTTAATTTTGCGAACTAGATTCCGTGTTGCACACCAAAATCGCCTCTTAGATAAGGCAGTAGTGTTAGCCTTATTGCTCGGAGAAAAACCGGGAGAATGCAGATGTAGTGATTTAGATATTGTTATAGATATAGTTGGGTTTAGTGTGATATACACATATATATATATATATATATATATATATATATATATATATATATATATATAGTCTTGAAATATAGTTGTAGAGTATATTTAATATAGTTGTATAGTATAGATATAGCTGGGCTCAGATATAGTTGGAAACCTGGTTTTTCTCCGAGAAATAATGCTAATGGTGCTGTCTTGTCTATATGAATAATGTTCCTCGCTCATGCACTGAACAACTTACAAAATTGCCTCTCGCTGCATATTTTCAATTCCAGCCTAGAGTACCATGCATCCTGACGTGATACCAGGAGACCGAATCGAATGTCGTTGGGCGAGGAAGAGAGAGAGAGAGAGAGAGAGAGAGAGAGAGAGAGAGAGAGAGAGAGAGAGAGAGAGAGAGAGAGAGAGAGAGAGAGAGAGAGAGAGAGAGAGAGAGAGAGAGAGAGAGAGAGAGAGAGAGAGAGAGAGAGAGAGAGAGAGAGAGAGAGAGAGAGAGAGAGAGAGAGAGAGAGAGAGAGAGAGAGAGAGAGAGAGAGAGAGAGAGAGAGAGAGAGAGAGAGAGAGAGAGAGAGAGAGAGAGAGAGAGAGAGAGAGAGAGAGAGAGAGAGAGAGAGAGAGAGAGAGAGAGAGAGAGAGAGAGAGAGAGAGAGAGAGAGAGAGAGAGAGAGAGAGAGAGAGAGAGAGAGAGAGAGAGAGAGAGAGAGAGAGAGAGAGAGAGAGAGAGAGAGAGAGAGAGAGAGAGAGAGAGAGAGAGAGAGAGAGAGAGAGAGAGAGAGAGAGAGAGAGAGAGAGAGAGAGAGAGAGAGAGAGAGAGAGAGAGAGAGAGAGAGGAGAGAGAGAGAGAGAGAGAGAGAGAGAGAGAGAGAGAGAGAGAGAGAGAGAGAGAGAGAGAGAGAGAGAGAGAGAGAGAGAGAGAGAGGAGTTCTCCTTTATCCATGTTTGATCAAAAACGACCATTGACCTGGCATCGATGAGCTTTTTTATGCATCGTTCGGATTTCCGAGCTTTTAACTTAGCAGCATCGTTAAGATCAAAGATAGCTTGCGCAGAATCACTCATATGCTCGTGAATCTGTAAATTCTTACGTTTCAAGATCCTACTTCATCGTCGGAAAAATATAAATGGCACAGTAATTACATTTTATGCTTTTGATGACGAAAATTGGGAATCACATCTGGAGAACTTTTTTGATCTTTTTTTAAGGAGAGAGAGAGAAAGAATTTCTTTGATCCACATGGATGCTCCTATAATGAAAACATTACAAAGACACAAACACACATTGCCTCAATCACATGTGTATTAATTACCTCCCGCCGCCTAATAATTCAAATGTTGTGTAACAATTTGCTCGCCTGTTTAGGGCCGGAGAGAGCTCGTTAATAAATATGCCTTCACAAATTTGAAGGCGTCATCTGCCATTGCTCGTCTGAAGAATGTCAGTGTTGTCTGTCATTTGTTGTGTCAATGTCCCGTCATGTTCCTGTCGCATGTGCTCCAGAAGTGGCCCGTCACCTAAATGCATTGTCACGCGTCGTGAGAGCGTCGTTGTGGTTTACCAATGTCGTGTATGCAGCTAGGTTTACAGCCTTCCATATCACATTTTAATTGATGCACTACATTGGTGCATTTTAGTTTGTCAGGCTTGTCTGAGCTATTTCTAATGAGTCAGAGATTTTCAATTTGCGATAAGAACTGATAATGTCTATTTTGTGTTCGTTCTTGCCTTTTAGATGTCAAGAGATGATTTCCCGCAGAGCTTTTTCGTCTTGTTTGTGGGGAGATGTCATAACATTTTGATAATGCAGATGAACGGTCGGTTGTTTGTCTTGTCTTGGATCCACCTGAGCTGTTTGTCTTATCTGGTTCCACCTGTCTTACCCCTCATCTGGTTGTTCAAGATGATGTCAATGGTGGACAGGCAACCGTAATCAGAAAACTAGAGCAAGCGCAGAAACACTTATTAAATGCACTTACGCCAAGGTTTTTAGCAACGCTTATATATATATATATAAATATATATATATATATATATATATATATATATATATATATATATATATATATATATATATGTGTGTGTGTGTGTGTGTGTGTGTGTGTGTGGTGTGTGTGTGTGTGTGTGTGTGTGTGTGTGTGTGTGTGTGTGTGTGTGTGTGTGTGTGTGTGTGTGTGTGTGTGTGTGTGTGTGTGTGTGTGTGTGTGTGTGTGTGTGTGTGTGTGTGTGTGTGCGTGCGTAAAGATACTTATTTCATGCATATATATATATATATATATATATATATATATATATATATTATCTCGGCTGGTTCTCGGCTGGTTCTCATTTATGTCGCCAGATTAAACGGCCGTAATTCGCAACTATAAAATTTACGGAAATCGTTTCATCTGAATCTGTTTTTCAGGTGTCAGGCCAGGCCTGTGTCCCAGTCACCGTCTGCTATTCACCGTCCGTTCGAAGAGGAATGAGTGTTTTAAAGACTGTCCATTGCAACGCCAGCCATCACGGCGGGTTCTGGAAGTGCTGCCGGACTTCCTTTGGCAACCTCTGTCTGCCGCCGTGTCGTCCCTCGTGCTTCGTCTCCCAGGTGTGCGCGCTGATAACCCAGTCACATCCGTGGACGGCCATCTGCGTGCCTCGCCCTCCCCTCGTGAAGGGTTAGCTGTTGTCGTAGGAAGTGCAGGTGCAACGGCGATCGGACATGTTCAGATTCCTGCAGCTGGAGAGCAGACACAGTCTCTTGGCAGATGGTGTCGTTTGTTGTCGCACAGTAGTCATAGTTGGGAGCTGCAGGGACGTTTGTATACTGCGCTTGTAGCATGGGGTTTCGATATACCGCAGTGTCATGAAGTTGCACCTATATTTGCTTCTTCGCCTGTGTGTGCGCTGGGTGACAAAACGTGAATGTTGTTCAGCCCCGTCCGCACACTGGTGCGTTTGATGTCGAATACACGCGTTAAGATTGACCGCACGTTTTGTGAAAGCGATTTTTGAGGAAAAATGAAGAATCCAGGCATTGTAGCACTCCAAGGCAGCCGCCAGCCTTGCTGAGAGTCGTACTTGTTCTGGTCAGCAATGAACGGCTATCGGCGAGCTTGACCAACATATAAGTGACAAGTTTATTTTGTTACATTTGACAGCCCGAGGTGACAACAGCAGTCCCAAACGCAAGCAAATACTATGCGGAGCACCGGCTACCGCTGGCAACACTGCAGCCACCAAGGCTAGCCTGAGACCGTAACATCAAAGCAGTCAGAATAGCAAACGACATTAGTTTCAACCCTGCAGTGTCGGAGCGTTCACGCCACTTCTTGCCATGCGCATCGACTACACACCGACAGATATGTGTGGCCTCCGGAGTGTCGGCATGCCGCTGGATGTCACATCAGTCACGAACGGCGCACACAGGGTTTACCTGGCGACTCTCCGCCGGCTGCAGCTGATGTCCGGCCACGTGCTGCTGGCCGGATATCAGCTGCAGCCGTATAACTGGCCGCCGAACCGTTCGTTTGAGACCGTGGAGTCGAAACTATAGATCAGCAAATGCCAGCAGTTTCAATTGTGCGATACCGGAGGATCCATGGCCCTGTCGACATTGCTGCATGGTTAAAAACTAATGAAAGCGCATGTGTTGATTAAAGATTTGCCGACGTGGATGTTTCTGGAATAGTCTAATAGCACCAGATATTCAACGAAACACATGTTTTTTATAGGAATTGATAACCGATAAAAAATAAGTGATGGCCCAGTAAGTAAAGCACAATGGTCCGTAACAACGGTAATTTAAGAGATCAGGAAAAAAAGAAAACGAGCAAAGTTCTAAGCAATTTTCTAGACAATGCATTTGTACATTTTTATCGAGCCACGTGTCAAAGCATGATGCCGTAAGTAAAGTTCGGAGCATTCCAAATTATTTGCAGCGGCAAAACAAACCAAATGGGGTAAGATTGAGACAGCGCGCTCTCATAGAGGTATGCTGTAAAACTTGAACTAGTGATACCGACAGCAATAGATGCTTAGAATGATGAGTTGTACCAAACGAAGCCATGATCGCTAGAAATGCAACACAATTGGTTTTAAATGACATAGGACATTACATTGCAAATTATTACATAATTTAACGTTCTGCAGCCATTTAGAACAGTGTCTCCAGGATAATATTTTCTCGTTCAGAGATGACTACCATCGACAGAAATTAAGCATAGCAATGGGGAAGCCATGCGCCTCTCCTCTGTTGATATTTTTGGACCAATTTGAAATAAAGGCCCAGACTGCCAGTCCATTAAAACCCCTGCCCTTGAAGATTTTGGGGAGTTCATGAACAGTCAGCATCCAAATTTAGTGTTTACGACGGAATACAGGGGACGGAAAGGGGTCCCATATTTGGATACGCTAGTGTCGGGGAAGGGAGAAACAACCACACAGCGTTAGAAACGGAGCTCTTTATCAAGCCTGCCAACTCTGGTATAATTCTGCACTGCGAATCTGCGCATCCAACTTCCACTAAGCACAACATAATTCGTAACATGATCCATAGGGCTTTAAGCAAGTCATCAAGAAGTAAAAATGGAAGACAAAGACAAGACAAGACAAAATGTGGACTTTGCTGTTAGGTGATGGATATTCTTCACGCCTTTTAGGTAGAACATTGGAAGAGGTAAAAAAGAGTTGGAGCGCGTAGGGTGATAGGTGGTAGGAGGCAGGGGCACGTTCTTTCGGACGACGAATTTTCAACGTTATCTTACATAGGTGAGCACTTGCTTTGGAAAATCAAAGATATAGTGAGAAAATTAAAACTGTGCGTACAGATGACTTGGAAGAACGACAATAAGCCAAAAAAGTATTTGGCGATATCTTCCATCTCGAAGCCTAAGAGCCCGGGTGGCAATAGATGTTATTTATGCATATTTGACTTTCAAAGGGTTCGCACGCAAAGCAGCCGCGGTTTACGAAATTAAGTGTGAACTGTGCGACAAGCATGGAGGGAATATAGTCTGTGTCCGAGGAGTTCGTGCGCCCTATTCGTTTGAGATGTAATGAACACCTGAGAGACGCTAAAAATAAAACAGGGAATATCTCATACAACATACCTTAACACTCTCGCCTAGCCGAACATTTTGTCTTTAATTTTGTACACGCTTTTGCAGCAAATCTGTATCTTAAGCATGAGGAGACCATCGGCACGCCTCTATAATATTTCATACAACATACCTTAACACTTTCGCCTATCAAACATTTTGTCTTTTATTTTGTACACCCTTTTGCAGCAAATCTGGATCTTAAGCATGAGGAGCACCATCGGCACGCCAAAATGGTACCTTTCAATACCTAAATGCATGCAATGATATTAATGTGGTCAGCGGATCAAAATGTACATTTGTACACTAAATCACAAGCGCATTAATCCCAGCCTGTGATAGTTGTGATACATGATGGCGGAGTGTCAATTCAAATTATTTTGTGAGAACCCTGCACCACCCCAATGTTGATGAAGGCCCGCTCAATGTTACTCACCTTTACCCGTCTTTAGGTGATGATATGTTGGTAGACCCACGGCTTACCCCTTCACCTAATCATGTATACAAATTGATGTCCCTGATGTCATGCCCCCTCCAGACAACTTATGGTTATTTCTCTCACCTGGCATCCGCTGCATGTGGCAATACAGAATATGTTTAACATGGGACTTTGCTCGGGCTATGCAAAGTGGATGGCCGGATTTATACAGGGCCGAAAGCAGAGGGTAAAGATAGCCAGAGGAAGCGATTAGCGATTGAAATTCAATAGCTTGAGGCACCCCCGAAGGGTGCCCTGGTGGAGCCTGTTGCCTTCTTAGGCATGATCATCGGTGCCGCTGTGAAATTAGCATCGTTTGAAGTATGTATACGATCTCACAAAACACCGAGCGCGTCCAATTAACAGAGTGGAGGTGCACAGCTGGCTGCAAGACAAGACTGATGAAATACGTGGATGGGCAGCTTCAAAAAGACGGTGCTTAATTCTGAGAAGTATCAGACCATACAAGTCTTTGCTGCCAAGAAATCACTGGTGCACCGGGACATCTTGGTTATTGGGACCAGCTTACCGAGTGTTGGCAGTGCTAGACTTTAGAGGCAACGGTATGCAGTGATATATCTTGTCAGGCATATGTGAATGAGTTTATCACGAAAGGCTCTAGGGCTTTGTATATGCTTCATGTATTGAAGAAATTCCGTCCACCTCAATTTCAAACGCTTAAAATCTACACCACGTATGCTCGACAACACCTTGAATGTCCCGCGACTGTTTTTCATGCAATGCTAGGCCAGCAACTGTTAAAAAACAACCTGTTAAACCTGTCTGTTAAAACCTGTCTGTTAAAAACAACCTACGAATGGCTCTAAAAAACAGCACATCCCAATTGCCAACGCAACTAAACTGTGTTCTTCCTAGGGGCGGATCTGACTGGCTGGGCCTTCACAACTCGGCCACAGACAGGGGGAGGCTCGCCTGGTTTTCAGCCTTACTGGCAGCAGCGGTCACCTGGCTTTCAGCCTTACTCACAACAGCGGTCACCTGATTTTCAGCCTTACCCGCAACAGAGGTATATGGATGCAATCCACTTTTCCGGGACGCGGCGAATGCACGCTGTATGATACCTGCACAGTAAATGTGACAGCGGATGATAACGGCTGCCAAGGGCGTCTGGCTCCGTTAACATAGCTTTTGGCCACATCTACATAACAACTGGCAACTCTCGTACATGCTGTCACCCTACAGCCATCACGCTGCACGAGGTGTCTTACTTGTTATAACCACCAAAAATTCGAACTTGGGGGAGAAAGATGAAGAATGGCTGCACTCAAGACATAGTAGGCGTGATAATTACGAGCGAAGCTGCACAACCAGCGAGACACAAGAAATTTTACTAGTAAGGTCCTATGGAAAGTATATCGATTCCCCCGGTTCGCTGGCGGTAAAATCGTTGTCATCTCGCAAGGCGCAAAACTATGCTCACAATTATCACGACTACCATGTTTTTTTATGCAGTCACATCCATTTCTTACCCCAATGCATTCGAATGTTTGATAAATGTAGAATTTATAACATAAATATCAGGTCTGCACGCAATATGTGTGTATGCGACTATGCGTGATTGTGGCATCTGCAGCATAAATGACAGCAGATAGCGAAGTAAGGCGCATTGTTCGGCGTGGGACGAGAGATCGATACTATATGTGAGAGTTCCCAGCTGTTATGCAGATGTTGCCAAAAGCTACGTATGCGGGATCCCATACGTGGGAGTTCCCAGTTGTTATGCAGATGTTGCCAAAAGCTACGCATGCGGGATACTATATGTGGGAGTTCCCAGTTGTCATGCAGATGTTGCCAAAAGCTTCGTGTGCGGGATGCTATATGTGGGAGTTCCCAGTTGTTTTGGAGATGTTGCCAGATGGGTTTGGCAGCCGATGTCATCAATTGTCACATTTGCCGTTCAGGTGTCACACAGCGTGTAGTCGCTGCGTGATAGGCGTGCCAGATAAAAGGGCTGCATTGATTGGCCATTTTTACGAAGGACGCTCCGCTGAACTATGATACAAATTTTCAGTTTGAGTGACCCGGTCCACCCGTCACGCCTTCTGAAAGCTAAATTAGTCGCAGCCTTTAACAGCACGGAGTGTGCTGCGTGAGCCTTAATCCCACCATCCGCCTGTGAATTTGCGGATCAACGACGGCGTGGCAAAAGCTTTACATGTCGTACCGCTCGGCGCGCTCCGTCCAGCCCTCTGACGTCACCTGACATTCGGCGTGTCTGCTGCTGCTGGCCGCAGGCCACCTTAGTCATTGGTAAAAGGCGACTCAGCCCCATCTCGCCACATGTGGTTGACCCGGAAAGCAGGTGCTCCAAACAATTGACACACTGATACGGACGAAATTCCGCGTTCACGCAGCTTTCAGCAACAAGAAGCGCAATCAAGTTGTGCTTTATCAATGATTGGCATTCGTAAGCAGTCGTTCTCATCAGGTGGGCTTTTCCTGCTGTAGTGCACTTTTGTCAGGAGTTTATCTCTCCCATTGTTGAGATTTTGACGACACGCGTTGGAGCGCTACGAGACTTTCTACCACTTGCAGAGAGTAAGATGGACAATCATGCTACGAAAAGAGTGGGCTGATACGCGCTGGCAAGCACGGGCTAAACGCGCAAACGATGGATTCTCTCGTTTTCAGGTTTTTACGTACTTAGATCACCGAGCGATCTCGATGCTCTCCGACCCTGGGGCGCGGCAGTATGCCACCGAGAGGTGGCATACGTCACCATTTTCTAAATCGGCCCCGAACGCAACACGATGCTACCTGCACCGAGAACGATAAGGCCATGAAATCGAATATCAATTGCCTACATAAGGTAGGTAGATACTTCAGGTATAAGGGCGCTTTTCAGTATTTTGTTCGCAATTGCCGAAGCCGTGGATAATTGCAGACTCGTCAGTTGCAGCGATTACAATTACCATGTCTGATCATGTTCAACGCTGTCAATTTTGCAAACAATGTTATGTGCGAATTGGCACGGACACGCTACATCGATAACTGCATCCAACGCAGGGGACACTGCCACCCCGACCTTTGGGCACACCACGAATACACTCTGAAATGAGTTCGGCCTTGTCCCTGTAATTTTGATCGCAGTCAAACGGTGGCCAAAGCAATACTTATTGCAGAACACACTGATAAGTGTTTTTATAATCGAGGTTCACGAGAGTTGACAAAGCACTAATAAATGGAAATATTGAACCAGTGAAATACAACAGGTACAAGCAAGACTCTTTTGCTTAAAACGTCTTTGGGTCTTATTTTAGGGACTTTTCTAATCACCATAAGTTTAAGTGACGTACGACATCATTGCTTATGAGGCGACGGAGTAGGTTCCCTTATTTGGAAGAGACTAAAAAACATAAGGAAATGCTGCTCGCGGCAAGTTTTTTAGTTGTTTGTCATTCGGTGAGGTCTCTTTGAGTGACTCGTCTGGCGTTTATACTCCATGTGTTGTTTAGTGGCTCCTTC